AGTCAATGAGCATTTATTATCTCCGATGAGTAGATGTTCTGGGAGGCACTAAGACACTGTGCTTGGGAACACAACTGAGCTCTATGGAGGTAGTAGCAAAGGTGTGGGTTTACGCCAGAAGTTTTAGCACCTAAGCAGGGAGACTCCTGGCTGCCAAGCGATAGGCCTAGCACTCATGCCCCCAGCCTGGAGTCCCCAACCCACATCACTTGTTGAGGGGTGAGACAGACAGAGATGCCTGGAAAAACTCCAGACCCAGGTTCGAAGGTACTTGCACAGCACAAACCTTGTGGGATACGGGAGTTGGCTGAGGAAGTGAGGAGGGCAGATAGTTTGAGACAGACCAAGAAGGGCCTTGAATTCTAGGCAAAGGAGTTTGGACTTAATTCCATAAGACACAGGGATGGAGAAGCAGAGTCATAACGAAGGCGGCTCTGGGGTCAGTGTTTTTAGGGCATGAGGGTTGTAGGCATGAATGGATCAAGAGAACATATAAGTAAAATGTACCTTATTCCACTGACAAATGTATTTAGCATAATTAAAACCATTGTCCTATGGTAATAGGAGGCTCAAAGAAACTAAGATCCAAAACATTTATTGTCTTCTATGGCCTACTCCAAAACTCAGAACATGCATCCCTGCTTCATAATCAACTTCCACACTCAAATGAAGGTGTATTTAATAACCTTAAGTCATTATTATGCCCACATTCCTACCAACAGTGCTATTTTCTTTTTCTTTTTTCTTTTTTTTTTTTTGAGTAGGAGTCTCACTCTGTCACCCAGGCTGGAGGGCAGCAGCATGCTCCTGGACACTGCAGCCTTGACCTGCTGGACTCAGGCGGTCCTTCCATCTCCGCCTTCCAAGTAGCTGGAACTAAAGGCACACCCCACCATGCCTAATTTTTAGATTTATTGTAGAGATGAAGTCTCACCAAGTTGCCCAAGCTGGCCTTGAACCTGTGGGCTCAGGCAATCCTCTCACCTTGGCCTCCCAAAGTGCTGGGATTATAGGTGTGAGCCACCGTGCCAGGTCAACATTGCTATTTTCAATACTACTCACACGATATATGGGTTCTGTTCCACCATTCTGTATATATGCTAATAAATTTTCTGTTTGATCCACTCTGAAAGTGACCAATATAGCCTATGATATCTTTATTTTAAGAGATGGGGTTTCACTATGTCGTCCAAGCTGACTTGAACTCCCAGGTGATCCTCTTACCTTAGTCTCTTGAGTAACTAAGACAAGAGGCATGTGCCACCATTCCCGGCTTATGAGATCTTAAATAAAACTAATGATTTTCTTGATCAGACATACTATACATTACTGCATTTTAACCATACTTTTAATGCCTTATTACTACATCCACCTTAGAGGGTACACCCTACTGCATTCCCCTATAAGTATACATTATACATATATTTTATACCTTCCTCCAGACACATATGAGTGGATATCATCTCAGGCCAAGGTAGAAATTCAAGTAGAGAAGCTAGGATTAGCAAAATGAAAATTAAGAAGGTTGTACATTTTATGGTCAACTCTGTTCATTATGATCATTTGTTTAAGTTAAGCTTCCCTGTTTTTCCTGAAATCTGTTAATAAATGGTAAAGTGATTAAATTTCCCCATACTTTCCCTTATAGTTCAGCACAGTCCACAACTAGACAGGTTAAGAGCCCAGTACAGGGTCCTGCTGGTGGTCATTCACATCTTCCTTCATCCACTGCAGAGTTTTTCTGAGCTCTCACATTGTACCCAGTTCTGATCTGGGGGCTGGGGCATGACATCTCAAAGCAGACTTGGTGCCTGCCCTAATAGCACTCACAGACTAGTATCAGGAGACTCTAGAGTGGACAAAATCTAGTGATCATTTTCAGATCTAGAGATCATTTCAGAATGTGAAGAGAAGAGACTATGGAGATATGGGTATGCGGGGTCACTACTTCAGACAGGATAGCCAGGGAAGGCCTGCTGGAGTAAGAGGCATTTGAGCTGAGGGACCTGAGGGATGAGAAAGAGCCAACCAAAGGAAGAGAGAAGAGTGGGAAGACCAGGAGTGCAATGTGGTCACAACATGGGCAGGACACAAGGAAGGCAGGCTGGGGTCTGAACAGCAGGGAAGGAGTCTGCACCGCAGTGCCATGGAAGCCACTTGGGGTTTAAAGCAAGGGTGCTGCTTTTCAATAAGATTGCACCCTTGTTGTGTGGAAACTGGTCATACTCAGACACTAGTAGAAGCAGGAGACCAGGGGGATGGAGATGGTGACTTGGTAGCTTGAGAGATGGCATGAGATAGACTGAGTAAGAGATAGTACTGCTCAGACTCAGGGATGAACAGATGAGAGATGAGGAGTGAAAGAAAACAGGAATTCAGGATGACTCCCCTAGGTATTTAGTCTAAGCAGTTTGAGTTGCCTGTAAGATATCTACATGGAGGCAAGAAATGGAGAGTTGTGAGGTCTGAAGATCAGAAGAGAGGCCAGAGTCAGAAAGATAAAACAGAGAGACTTAGCATGGCTTTACGTAAAGCCAAGAGAATGGAGGCGATCCTTTACAGAGAGAATGTGTAAAAGGCAGAGGGGAAGAATGCTGGAGGTAACTCCTGCACATGGAGGTCAGCTGGAGAAGGGGGAGCCAGGAGAGAAGGCTGGGCAGGGAGTGGATGCATGGCTGAATGCATGGATGGATGCATGGATGCATGCATGCATGCCTGAGGGAAGGATGGACAGATGGTTGCGTGGATGGATGAATGGATGGATAGATGGATGGACGGATTACATAAGTGGATGGATGGACAGACAGATGGTTGCATGGATGGTTGATGGGTGGATGGATAGATGCATGGATACATAAATGCATGTATGGATGGATGGATGGATGGACACGTAGCTGAATGGATGGATGGTTGGATGCATAGATGCATGTATGCATAGATGTATGGATGCATGCTTGCAAGGATTTATATGCAAACAGCCCTAACCAACTACTGTAATCAACAAAGTAAATACACTCATTTTTGTCACCATTGACTGTTTGGTTTCTACATACCTACAAAATAACCTAACCATCCTCTTTCCTATTCCTCCAAAGAGAACCTGAACTACAACTACCCACTAGACCTTGAACAAGTAATAGTCAAATGAGTGATCTATACAACTAAGATGCTCTGTATTTCTTACTTAATGACTGAAGAAATAAATAAATCATACTGGAAAGCTCAGTGTGGAAAAGTGGGTTGAGAAGAATTTCCCTCATTCCCAAAGCAGCTGGTTGTGATGACAGCTCCTTCCTCAAGGCACACATCAGCCTTAGCTGAAAGAGCATCTTTCCCTGCTCATCACCGGTGCTCACCTGTCTCGTAGCTGTGTGTGGAACCTTTGGGTTATGGAGTAAGTCCTGCCTTTGAGCTTGGACCATGGAGAAATAGCCACTTTATATTTATTGTGGCAAAAACATAGCAAAGTTTAGAAGTCATAAATGACAACATCTACAAGAGTATGGGATACATGAAAAACAGTCTTTTCCTCCAAAGAAAGGAAAGAAAGAAAGGAAGGAAGGAAAGAAGGAGGGAAGGAAGGAAGGAAGGAAGGAAGGAAGGAAGGAAGGAAGGAAGGAAGGAAGGAAGGAAGGAAGGAAGAAAAGACACTGGTAATCATCTCTGGGGTAGGATTTCTCAGTGTAAAATGGGAGGTTCAATAAGATGTGCTTCAGGTTTTATATAGGCATATAACAAATTCGGAAAATGTTGGCCACAACCCTGTATTTTTATTTTTTTACATAAAGGCGATGATGGCAAATGCTGTTAGGTTTCTACTATGAGTTCAAGTTGTCACACTTACTGACGCACTGGGTGTCAGATCGCCCCATCACATGATACGGGAAATGTAATCTCTTAACATAATTTTATGTGCTATTTTTCTGAGCTTTCTCTTGAAAAGCTGGGTGACTTCTTGGGTAGCAGCAATTTACCTTTCACACTTCTATAATAATCAAGGTGCCTGATTGCCCTGAATAACATCCCAGGCTGTCAGAATATTTCATGGCTGTGAATTAGCATTTCAAAACCTTTTGAAACCAAAGGTAGGAGGGTCTTTTCCCCTAGCTAGCAGTTTCCCTGGTTGCAAGGAAGCAAGTGTTAAATGCACACCTGGAGAAGTCATATTTTTGTATGGGAATACTAGATAGGGTCTCAAAAAATGTGTCAAAAGGCTCGAGAAACATTCTGGCTCAATCATCATACAGTCTGAAATTTACAGAAAGAGTCAAAGTTCAAATACTCTGCTCAGTGTCCCTATAACTCGTTAAAACATCCTGAAAAATCCCAACACTTTAGGCACATAAACAACATTTCTCTAGACTGTTTCTCCAGCCCAGGAAGGAGAAAAATCTTTTATTATGCCATGGCCCCTAACTTGGAGCTTGGACAACTTCATTCCAGGGAAGACTGTGGTCATCAAAGATTTTTTGTTAGTCGTCTGAGCACTGGAGACTAAAAATCAACTGAGATATAAGACTGATTCAATGAGTTACGACTGTTACAGCCTGATTTAATGAGTTATTGCTCTAATGGCCATAACTAGTGACCACCACTTACACCATGTAATCAGGCTTGTCAACTTGCCTCCTACTCACAACTGGTCCTGCATCCCCATTGCCTATCAGTGGTACCCAGAGCAAAGTGTGGTACCCAGAGCAGCAATATCAACACTACCTGGGAACTCATTAGACATGCAAATCTTGGGACCCCACCCCAAACCTATCTCTGAGGAAGGGCCCAGCAATCTGGGACTCTCAAGCATGCCAAAATGTGACAACCACTTGCCCAAATAAATCCCACATTCCTCAGCCTAGCCACCATCTTGCCCACAACCCATCTCTGCTCCAATTCCCACTCCTCTCCCACTGGGATCCTCAGTTCTAGCCAGACTGTCTCAATGACTCGATGTTCCCTGGAAAGGCCAGCACTACCCTTCCCCTGTTGAGCCATCATCACACATTCCACTCACCTTCCTAGGATTGGCTATCTTCCTCACCCAAATCTTCCACTGCTGCTCAAGTGCTCTGGTTTCTAGGAAAGGCACTGAGCCCTCCCCTACCTCTTCCACCAGGCCTTCTCCACCTCCCTGGGAACTGTGGGGCTCTACTGGTTAGACCAGAGTGCTCTACCACTGCAAAAGAACACAGCGGTCTTTCCCTAGTGTGAAGCAAACAACTTAAGGCGATTCAACTGAGGTCACTGTGGTGGAATAATTTTCCCAATTTTATGCTTTTTTAAAATTATACCTCTTTCCTAAACCTTTGTTGCCACCTCCTTGCTATGCCACTTGAGTGCTAGCTGGCTAGTGACAAAACAGATAAGTAATCTGGTGTTCTGCAAAACGCATTATAACTTCCTGCACTGTCTCCTGCACACGTCCTGAAGCGCAGTGTTCAATATATACCATTCATTTGGCCACTAACATAGCCATCCTCAACTGCTGGCTATCTTCTGTTTAATATATTCAGCTGACCCTTGAACAAAGCAGAAGTAGGGGGACCAACCCTCCCACACAGTTGAAAATCCACACATAGCATTTGACTCCCCAAAACCTTAACTGCAAATAGCCTACTGCTGACCAGAAGCCATATACAGTCAATTAACACATATTATGTATGCTGCAAGTATTATATACCATATTCTTGCAATAAAGCAAGTTGGAAAAAAGAAACTGTTATGAAGAAAATCACAAAGAAAATATATTTACTATTCATTGAGTGGAAGTGAATCATCATAAAGGTCTTCTTCTTCATGGTCTTCATATTGGGTAGGCTGAGAAGAAAAAGGGGAGGTTGGTCTTGCTGTCTCAAGTGGAAGAAGTGGAAGAGAATCCAGGTATAAGTGGATCTGTGCAGTTCACACCCATGTAGTTCAAGGTTCAACTGTATCTTTAGCCTTATGTATCATACCCTAATTATAATGGAATATTTATATTTTTGTATAAATATGCATACACACATTTGCACACATATAAACTGCATGCAGTATGTGCAGTTCCCTCTGACAGATGCCATTCCTGCTGCTCTGACACTCCCCCCCAGCCCCCAGTGTTCCCAGACATGCTCACTCATCCACACGTGGCCCTGGGGGTTTGGACTTGCTCTTTTGGGTCTTCTCACATCTGCATTGGTCTTTTTTTGTCATTGAGGTGAAATTCCTATGACATAAACCAATCATTTAAACTATACAGTCAGTGGCATTTAGTACATTCACATTATTATAAATCATCATCACCTCTATCTAGCCCCAAAACATTTTCAGCACCCCCAAAAGAGAACCCCCCTTCCTCTAGCTTCCCCCACCCCTGCCAGCAACCAATAATCTCTGCCTATTCTGGGCATTTGACATAAATGTAATCATATAACATCATGCCCTTTTTTGTCTGGCTTCTTTCACTTAGCATACTGTTTTTGTGGTTCATCCATGTTGTAGCATATATCACTACTTCATTTCTTTTTAGGACTGAATTATATTCCATTGGATAAATATATAGCATTTTGCTTATCTATTCTTTCACTGATGAACCTGTGGGCTGTTTCCACCTCCTGGCTATTGTGAATAACACCGTTATGGATATTCATGTACAAGTATTTGTGTGAATGTTTGTTTTCAATTCTTTTGGGTATATACAGAGGAGTAGTATTGCTGAGTCACATGGCAATTTCAAGCTTAATTTTTTGAGGACCTGCATCAGTTCCTCAATTTGTATCTGCTCCATTTTCCCCAGGGTTATCCGTGGGCAGAAACCACACCTCAGTCACCTTCACAGAGTATACACCCAGACTTCAGCATGTGCCTGCCACATATTAGGTTGGCTACACAGTGAATGATAGTATAGAGGCCTTATCTCTTATCAGGTGCTGTTCTAAGTGCTCTTTACACATAACAGTCCATTGTCCTCATTAACTTATTTAATGCTCATAACAGCCCCCTGAGATAGGTATTATTATTATTATTATCCCCATTTTTCAGATGAGAACACTGAAATGCGGAGAAATTAATGAACCTGATCAAAGTCACATGGTCAGGAAGTGGCAGAGCCTGGATTAGAACCTAGATGGTACGACTCCAAAATGTGAGCTCTTAAGGCACTACACCATCAGTCTCTCTCATGTCTGTCTTCCCTCAACTCATTAAACACAAACACTGGGGGATAGGGGAGGGGGTTCCTGATGCCTGGGGCTCAAAAAATAAAAACGGTTAAACCCAGTAAAAGAACTCACAATGGAAGATATCTAACCTTTAGCATCTATTGTCATTTTCCATGCATTCCTTTAGCCTACTTTTTCTTTCTTTTCTTTTTTTTTTTTTGTTTTGAATGCCTACTATGGGCCAAGTATCTTCTGTAGATCCTAAGCCTTTAAAAAATCAAGTAAGGCAAGTATAATTATCCCCATTTTGTGGATAAGAAAAGTGAGACTTTAAACACACAATGCTAACTCCTATGACTTGGCCATCTGGGGCCACTTGGGGCCAAAATGTAGAGACCTACACACTTCCACATTCAAGGGGTTGCAATAATTAATGCTCATAGGATGACCTGAGTCATTCAAAAAAAGCTATGTTTGAACTCTGTTTAAAGGTAGATAAATATAAAATGCATTTTAAACCATTGCTATTCAAAATGATTAAGATAAAATTAAAAGCATTGCACTTATAGGAGTCAGGTGTAATCTTCTGGAAAATTTCCTGACATGGAACCTCTTAAACCTGATCATGAGGTCAGTCAATGAGGCTTCACTGGTGGGTCAACAATATCGCCTTCCTGCTTGATGGTTTAATGGAGATGTTTTGTAAACAGCAACCAGCAGATGAATTATAAAAACAAGGAAGAAACAGCAGCCAAATTATTACGGAATGGAAAACACTTAGGAAATCAGTGAAAACAGGCAGACGAAGGTGTGTTCGCCAGGGAGAGAAGGAGGTCAGCAAGAAACTGCCCCTGGAAAGCAACCCACCAGGAAGAGCAAACAAGACAACAATAACCCTGGGCAATCACTAGGAAACAGACTCGGGGGG